GGGGAAAGCGACAACAGAGTGTTTTGACCCCAAGCCTGTTCCTGCAGCTGCTGGGGACGTGCCAGGATGCCACAGGGTCTCCCCACCAGCTCAGGAGGTGCCGGTGCACAGCAGCTCCTCTGCAGCCACTTGCCCCGTCCAAGAGATTCCAGTGCTCTGGGGATTGTGCTGGGGACAATTTTGCTATTTAAGAGCACGCTGCAGAGTCAGCAGCAAATCATTTCCAAAAGGATTTGCCTCCCTGGGCACGTGGCAGAGGGAGCAGCAGCAGAGATCCCCAGACCGGCCCTCCCCTGCTCAGAGGGTTTCACGTGGGAAACGGGGGACCTGCTCTTCACAGAGAACACAAGGCTCTTTCCCTTGATATCAATCTCATGGTTTAGCCCATAATTTTGTAAAATAAAAGATGAATATTTTAAATGAAACATATTCCTTTCCTTGACACCAGGAATTATGAATTGATAAAGATTTCCTATTATCTTATAAAAATCTACCAGGCCAATCCTTCAGCAAGGCCATGCCCATAATTGCAAGCAGATGTCTTTCTCTGCTGACACGCTAAATGGAAGCAGAAAGACTCGCTGCTATCTCCCATCAACAATTTGCACCAAAGCAGAGAACGGATTTTCACAGAGCTGGGCTGCTGGAGGAGGAGAGGGATTAGGTTCCTGCAGCCCAGGCATCTCAGCATTACAGCAAAACAAGGCAGCTCGGGAAAACAATGAACTCCAAACAGTCCCTAATCCCAAAGTAACCAAAAGCTTTTGTGAAGGAAAATGAATTTGTGAAACTAATACTGCCAGGGCCCGGGGGGGAGCAGGGGCTGAGGTAATGCAAGGCGAGATGATCCAGCTGAGGAGCCCCCACGGACCCCCCCGCCGGGGCAGCAGCAGCTTTTGGGGTCTGTGTTCGTGGGGAGCTGCCCCGTCCCCCGGCGTGGCTTCAGGGCAGAGCACGGGGCCGGGAATTATCAATACAAGTGGAAGTGACAGGGTGTTTAGCAAACATTAAACCCAGGAAGCTTAAAAGGTCTTCCAGGATTATTAAATAAACATTCAGGGCGAGTGAGAGGAACGACTGTGAAATGGTGAAGAAATTGCAAACACTCTGGAGCGGTCAGGGCTGCAAAGATTCAGCTGTGCAGGACAGTGTTTAACCATCAAACCATCACCCACAGTGATGTCTCAACTCTCAGCAAGAGCTAATCCAGGAGGGGGACTTTAATAAAATCTCAATATCAGGCTAAATGTTTGTTAAGGACCACTGAACAGACAAACCTGAACCTGCCAGCCAGCACCATCAGCTCTGCCAGGCCAGCAAGGCCATCCCCATCACACAGTCCCTGAGAGAAGGCACGTGGGCTCACACAGCCACTCGTGAAACTACCCCACAGCTGCCACACGCAGCTCAGCCTTCTCCAAAGCTGGGCTTGCCCTTGCTGCACAGTGGCTGAGGAGACTGGGCTGGGTGTGATCACCCCCACGTGAGGATGACCGATTGAAAGGTGCCACGTTTGCCTCAGGGGGCTGCAGTTTGTTATTTGTGGGGTTTAATGTAGTTCTGAACACACAAGAGGCTGTGCAGGCGTTCATAGCCTGCCCAAGGCAAATGCCCTGATCTCCTCATTTCTTTCCAAGTAACAGCAGAGATACTCCAGCTCCACCATCCTTCTGGGGCCATCATTTATTCATATACAACATTACACCTCCCAGTAAATTAACCTCTCAGCCACATTAATAACTCAAGAGTTTGAAGAAAGATTGAGGCAGTGAAGTGCTGAAGCAGAGGCTGCCAACAGCACAACCTGCCCCAAGCTAAGCTAAAGAAAAAGCAGAACAGTTTTGGTGGCAGCCCCATGGAACCTCAGAGAGAGCCATTCTTCCCACACCTCAGGAATGGGAGCAGAGAGCTGGACCCCAAACCCTGCAGTGCTGGCTGTATCAGGTATGGCTCCTTCCAGCCATGCCCTGGCTTCCCTCCTCGCATTCTGCACAGCAATGGCTTGGCAAACATCTCCTGGTTGTCTCTAAAGGCAAAACTTCAGACAGCAGCGAGCTCCCCATCCGAGCACACTGCTGCAGAAAAGAGGGACTGTTTGCTGCCTGCTCGTGGCTCTGGGGATCTTGGCAGGCTGTGAGAGGAGCCTGCTGTGCCGTGGCACAGCCATGCCCTCGCCCTGGCGAGTGGAGACAGATTCATCACCCTGATGTGCCAGGAGGGGCCGGGGCCAGGGCTCCCCCAGCGCCGGCAGCCCCTGCGCCAAAGGCCGGGGCGCAGCAGACCCGCTCCCGCCACGCAGGCAGCATTCTTGTGGCGGGCTGCCGCCCCAGAGGAGATTCCAGCCTCTGATGGGAAGTTCTTGAAACAAAGCCCTCATTTTCCAAAGGTTGCGAGGCCACCGTGGCGCAGACGGCCACCCTGACAGGTTGATCTGCGCTTCCTCCCGCAAGGCTCTCCGGGACGGGGCTCTGCATCGGGAAGCCACGTGCTGCAGAGCTGCTGGACCCTGCACGTGGCTCTGTCTGCAATGAGAAGCTCCCAGGAGCAGAGGAGCCGCCAGCTTGCCCCGCTCCCCTTCCAAGGAGGACATTCGAGCATGGCTCAGACACCTCCAGAGTGCCCAAAGGGAGCAACTCATCCAACAGGCAGCACGCTCGGAGGCTCAGATGGGATTACGGGGGAAGAAACAGTAATAAAAAAAGTCTGTTCCTCTGCAAAACAGGGATTTTCAAAGCACTTGCTGAAGACACTGCAGGACGTTTCTCCCTCCCGGGTCTGAGGGAGCCCGCTCTCCACGGCGGGGCCGCTGCGGCGCGTGGAGCTGGGCTGGGCTGGGAAAAGGAGCCTGTGTGCCAGGGAACAGCGGTTGGCAGGCACAGCTCTGGCCTTGGGGTGCAGGGTGGCTTTAATTAGGGCTGTGTGTGTGTCCTTTTTAAGGGTCATCCAGCACAATGCAGGCAGGAAGCAGGAGCAGCCCCCAAAACACAGTGGAGCGTTTTCTCTGCAGAGCTACCGGTGTTGGGCAGGGTGGAAGGAGGGTTTCACTGTGGCTTTGGAGAAGGTCAAAGCAGAACGCAGACTGACAGCAATGCGAAAAACTAATTGAGGGATGGAAGATGACTTTTTGTACAGCATGAAAGAAAATGGTATTTGTTTATAACTGAACTACAACTGGAGGCCAGAAACTCAATTAACAGACGGTACTTGACAGAAGGAATGCTGGAGCAAAGAAGATAAACATTATTGGGAGGATAAACTGAGTCACAAAAGGATGATATTTTATTTTAGGATTTAAGATTCTTGCTTCAGATAAGCCCAGGCAGACAGCAAGAGCGAGCAGCCCAGCGGTGGCACGTCCCTGTCCCTTGGACACCTCACAGCCCTCAGCAGGGCAAAACTGAAGTTGTCCCCCAGCATGACACGTCTTAAACTGAGCATTTACACAAATGCTTGTAACTTAAACTGGAACTCATTACAACCTCATCAATCTGTGATGTTAAAAAGCCTGTGGTTTGTTTATTTATTTCTTTACTTCACTGATAAAAGCACATTATCTACAATGATTAATTTTGCAATAAAGAAACAACACTACTACAAATGGTGGTCTAAGACAACCTAGTGGGACTTTCTACAAAGTTCATGTCCTAAATCCATCTCTCTGTTAGCTGTGAAACATCATTCCTCAGAGTGCTTGGCTTCTTCGTGGAATTCTTCTACAACCAAGTCCACAGCTCTGTTCCCACGTGGGGAATAAACAGCACTCCTGAGCTAAGGAATAATTAATTTACCAGCTTTGAGTGAGCTTGGTTCAAACCTCAAAAATGAGGATTTGTTATTTCATTTAACCGTGATACAATAGGATTATCTCAGATCTCAGATATTCATTCTCTTGGAGTATTGATGATGGATGAGAATACTGAATGGAAGCTGGAAGGACGATGAATGTGGAGTGATATGGGTCCATGGAAAAGAGAACTCGTCCAATTAACAGAATAATGCATTTCAGTTTGGCCGATAAATGTAATCACTCGGATGAGATATTCTTTGTCTTTCATAAACTGTTTGAAATCATACAAACACAACATTCTGATTAGGGGGAAAAAAAACGCAGAACGATACAAAGCCAAGTTGTCACAGATCAAACAGACAAAACCCAGACTGATGGGTCCCTCAGAGAGGGAGAGGCGGAGTCGATGCGTTCCCTGCAGCGCTCCTGAGGGACGAGTCCTCAGCCTCCTGCACTCTGCCCCTTCGCCAGCAGCCTGGAGGAACTACCAAAACATCACTGGTGAAGTGAGGGAGTGACACAAGCTGGGGGAGCTGGCCCTGAGCTCCCTCCAGCTGGAACCCCAGCAGGGCAGCCTTTGCAGGGGCCAGAATGGAAGGGCAGGTCTGGGCACCGGCAGCACCAGCCACCTGCACAGGGCACTGCCCCGCCAGGCTGAGGGCAGGGCAGCTCAGCTGGACCTGCTGGGGCCCACGGGAGGCTGAAGGCACAGGTAGGGGCACAGAGCCCCCTCTGCCCACACAGCCAGTGCACCAACTGCAGGGCTGCCAGGGAGCAGCTCAGTGCTGGGCACGGCGTGGCAGAGGCAGGGCAGGCACCTGGTGAGACATTGCAAGAGATGCTGGTGAGGGAGGGCTCCAGCCCATCAAGGCACCACGAGGACCTGGGGTTAAGGCTTAGACAAAGCAGGTTTAGACTATAACAGGATTTTTTTACAGTGAGGGCAATGCTATCAGGAGGTTTTATCAGAGGTTGTAACGGGACGGTGAGGATGGGATGTCTGTCTAATCAGCTGGCTCTGCTTCGCGCAGGAACTCAGGGCGATCCTGCAGCCACGAAGACAGGAGTGACACGGTCACAAGGGTCCTTTCTGCAGGTGTGTAACCTCTGGACATCACCTCACACCCCTCTGCTTGCCCCCTTTACCTGACAGCTGCTATTTGAGTGGCTGTATCTGTGGGGTAACAGGTCTTTAGATGCCGTGGACAGACTGTTCGGTGCACGCACGTCGCACGCCCAGGCCGTCAGGCAAACACCAGCAGCGGGGATGTGGGAGGGCTGGGGTCAGTGAGGGAGCTCTGAGGAGCAGGATGGAGCAGCAGGAGGGCTTGGCTCCAGCACCCCTGCTGCAGAGTGCCCCGTGGCACAGGCCAGGGCAGCGGCTCTCCCGCCGCCCACCCATCACTTGAAAACGGACGGAAACGTCGGGCAGTCGGGAGACTTCATCTTCTTCATGAACTTCTTGAACTCTTTGTTCTTCTTGTCCCACTTGTAGATGGCTGTCAGCAGGTACTGGGTCTTCACCTGGCGGCCCATGATGAGGAAGTAGTGGCCGAGGTTGTCCAGCTGGTGGCAGGGACAGTCTGCCCCGTTTTTCAGGAACAGCACCAGCTTCTTCAGGTTCTTCTTGCGGATGGGCCCCAGCTTCAGTGCCTTCCTCTTCCGTGGGACGATCATCTTGTCCCCATTCTCCTTCTTCACTTCCTTTATGGTCATCTTAAGAGCTGCAAAACAAGCCAGAGAGAGGGGAGAAACGAAACAACTCCTGAGCAGCCTTCGCCGGCACAGAGCCTTTGCTACGTGAGGCTGGGGGTGAGGGGGCACTGGCACCGTGGCCCCAGGACAGCAGCAGTGCTCTGCCCCACTGCAGACATCCAGTGCCCCATTCCTGCATCCCCCTTGTCTCCACTCAGCTCCTGCCTCCCCCTGCTCCGTGATTTGATGTCTCTGTTCCCCTTCCCCCAGCAAAGCATCCAGAGCTTTCTGCTGGAGAGGGGACTCATTCAGCCACCGGTGAGCTCTTTGCAAGGAAAACGTTAGCTAAGTAAATAAGGTGATTTCCCTGCTCTAGAGGCACGGAGAGATTCTTGAAAGATCATTTAAAAGGTCAGTTTGGCTTCTCAAGCATTTGTTTGCAGTCACACCGGCCCTCAGGTGCCTGTGGAACAAGTTCCCAAGCACTGGAGGTCTCTGCATGGAGCTGGGGAGAGCCAGTCACACAGACATGCCTAGGAGCCCAGGACAGACCTTCCTCAGGAGAAGGGGAGTTGGTCTGACACAACTTCCATGGACAATACTCTCCTCTTTGGGTTCAATGTTTTCCCGAGTTAATCCCAACCCCACTCCCCCCCCCAAAAAAAAAAGTTAATGTTCCTTTGCCTGACCATGAAGAAGAATTTTGCATACATGGTAAAAATGATGAAAATGTGTTGTACATTAAAGTTGCACGTCTGTGCCATTTGGCTTTGCCTCCTTTTTGGGGAAAAGCACATATGGCCAAAAATTACTAACACATTTCCATCGTTTGGGAGTTTACTTCAGAACTGCAGATAACTAGTGCGCAGAGAGGTGATTAATTGGCTGCTGTCCCTTCTCATTTGAGTCCGAGGGCGGGTGCAGGCAGCCCACAGGAGCCCCTGGCTCTGCAGCATCGGTCCTTGAAGCCCTGCTCTGCTGGAACGGGGAGCAGCAAACACGTGTGGCTTCCTGGAAGGCAGCGCCGCTCACCCCTCCAGAGAGGGATGGCAGCAGGACAGCGCTGACAACCCCGAGCAGGCAGCACAGACATCACCCTCTGCTCCCATCCACTGCCCTGGCAACAGAGGCAACGGCCCCTGTGCCAAAAACACCCCTGGGTTTGCCAAGAGCCCTGCCGTGCTACACTCTTACTGTACAAGAGAGTAATCCAGGACTGTAAACCTAAGGGAAATGTTCATTCCATCTGCTTTCCAAATTCAGGATGTTTAAGGAGCTAAAGAGATTCCAACTTAAGGAGCTAAAGATGCTGAACCAGATCAGTTTGCAACAAATCTGGAAAACGAAGCGAGTAGTTTTCAAGCAGCTCTAAACTCCATGACATTAACTGGGCAGCAGCAGCAGCAGCAACACCCCTCAGGGCGAGCCTGTTTCTTTATCCCTGCTGACTTGGAGCCCTGGCACTAAGCACAGGAGTGCCAGTGCAGGAGGATGTAAAACACCATAATAATGGCACAGTGAGAGAATTCTGAGAAATGGCTGTGTTTGCAGACTGCTTTGCTGTGATCGCTGCGAGCTCGATCCTTGTTGCTAGAGGAAGACAAGGACCTGGCAGCTGGTGGAGGAGCTGCCCTACTCCAGGTATCGTGGTCCAGGGAAGACAAAGAGGGCCTGGTAACCCTGTGCTGTGGGAGCTCGCAGCTGTTCCCTTCCCTGCACACTGCAGTCCATGAGCCAGCCATGCAGGTTCAGGGGAGCTGCCCAGGGGAACCATAAATCCAGATGTGAACCAAAACCTCGTCCAAACCTTGCTCGTGCAGAGCAGCACACAGAGCCAAGATGGGAGAACGCCAAGGGGGATGAAGGAGGAGGCTGATCAGGGGGCCAAATAGTTTGTGTCAGACTCTGCTCCTCCCAGCAGCGATGTCCTTGTCACCAGCAACAGCCTGCAGTGCTACCCAGGTAAATACAGCCTGGCTCAGGGACCACCGAGCTTCAGCTGCCTGCAGAGCTGCAGGCTGAGCAATCACGTGAGCACGATGACCTCTGCTCAGCATCACCCCCCCTTCAGTGACCTGGCCCCCCCGACCCCCATTGCCCCCCAAACTGGGCCCCACTCCCCAAGCCCCAACCCACGTTCCAGGTGAGGCTCCCGCGTACTAAAGCCGTGTTCCACCGGCAGGGCTGGACACGCAGCTCTGGCGTGTCCCACGCACACCAGAACAGCAGCACCCCAGGGCACACTCATTGCCAGCACACATCCCGCTCCCAGAGCTGCCCAGCACACGGCAGGAGGCAGCCCCTGGCTTGCAGCTTTCCCAGAACACGGGATTTGGCTGGGGGGGCCCTGGTGCAGCTCATCTGGCATCCCCCCGGCCCTGGGAACGCCCCTGCGGCGGGCAAAAGGCTCGAGAGGGACAGATCCAGCCTTGGCTCCCGGCCCCAGCCGAGCTGCCAAAGCAAACAGCGTCCTCTCTGGGAGCCCTGGCCTTTCTGCTCCCCGTGCTGCACCAAATCTGCCTCAGCACCGAGCAGGAGAAGGGCCAGAACCGCCTCAGAGACCCCGGGTGGCGCTTGCTTGGACATAATAAATCTTCAGCTGTGGCTGCCAGGCAGGAGCTGACCCCAGGAAGAGACCCAGAGGGCTGCCCACAGCACAAGCATGTGCCGCCTTTCCAGCCCAGCAGCTGCCTCGGCATCGGCTGCGGCACCAGCACCGGCACCCCCTGCCCCCCTTGCCATCAGGACGCTGCCTCTGGTGTTCTCCTGCCTGCACGGGCCCCACTCCAGCACCTCGTGGGCAGGAAAGGAAATGTGAGAGAAGGGAAAGCTCCACTGTTCCTTCAGCCTCATTTCTCCTTCCTTTAGAAATCACTGAGAAGGAGGAAACCTGCCAGGAGACACATTAGGGCTGTAACAGGAGAAGACTGCCGGCAAGGAGCTGTCAGTCACCGGGAGAAAATAAACAGCGTGTATTGATTGTTCTGCAGTCCCCAGTGCCACAGAGCCCGTTCAGCAGGATCCCCTCAGACCCCAGAGAAAGGGCAGAAACAATAAATAAAATCACTAAGAGAAACAGAGCATGGAATGAACTCCAGGAGTAAGAAACAAGCGCTGGCTGCAGCCCAGGGCAGCCGGGGGAGGCGGCAGTGGGGGCACGGGAGGCCGATCTCAGCTTCCTCCTGCATCCATCGCTGCCCCAGCACACCAGCACTGCACCAAAATCTACACTGCAGTTACAGGACCTGCCCCAGCCCTCTGCACTGCTCTGTGCCCAGGCCAGGGCCTGGCACCCCTCGCTGACACCCCACTAGGAGCTGCCCAGCTACCACAAACCTGCAGCCCAGAGCCCACGTTCACCACTGCTCAGATGAAGGCAAACCCAGAGTTCTGCTGGACCACGAGGCTGGAAGTCCCCTGGCATCCCTCTGAGCCCCAGTGCCTTGCCCAAGACCCTCTTCTGCCTTTTCTTGCTGTGTTCACAGCTGGCTGCAGCTCTTCCTGTGCTGTCCTCAAGCTCGCTCCCAGGGCTGCTACAGAGCCACCCCCTACCCTGGCACAGCCACATATCTGTGGTGGGCAAAGTGCTCCTCACCTCCTGTCTGTAACGAGCTCCTGGGATGCAAGAGAAATCCACAGTAACAATTACAGTGGGAACTGGTGCAGAACACACCAACAGCTGCCCCACGCAGCACATGTTAGTTTAAACATTTATTGTACATGTCTGGCTTTGATGAGGATCTGTAACCTGTCAGCTGCCAGTGTTTACCTTGGTGGATGTGCATGAGAAACCTCAGTCTGAAGGGTCGGGAGCTTATTTTAGTGCCAGATAAACAGCTCTCCTTGAGAAATCATCCCATGACAGTAAAGCCCCAAGACTAAACAAAGCCCCAAGGGCCACGCACTGTGCTTTGGGAAAACTTCCTGAAGCCGATGCCTCTTCCCCATCTCCTGCTGCCCAGCCAGGCTGCACACTGCATGTCTGCTTCCATTCCCCCACCAACCATGGATGCACATTCCTGGGAAACCATTACACGGGTGTTCCTGTTGGTGCTTTTCCCTCTTAGAAAGTCTGAGCTGAACTTAGGACTTCTGGCATACCAAATCTGCAGGAGAGTCGAGAATTCATTTCCAGCAGAAAGGGTAACACGCCAGCATGCAGAGCAGGTTTGGGTTTGCATAGCACTCTCTGGCACAGGGCACATTCAAGTGTTAATCCCCCAGGAATGCACACCTTGTTCAATATCCCTTTAATAACCTTCCGGGAAAGCTACATACACCAGCAAGGATGTCAAAACCAGTTAATTCTGGGTTTGATCTGAGAAAGCTAATATTTTTCCCTGTGATAATCTTTTTTTTTTTAAATCGAGTTCAGTTTACCTCTGATTGTCTGACTCACTCACTCACTCACAACATATTTAGGACACAGCTTTCAAGTAGCTCTGCATTTTTAAGCTCACAGCCTGGCCCTAACTAGACAAGGAGTGGCTTTGGGGTTTTACGCCTAGATTTGACAAGAGCAGCATAACTTTGTTAAAAAGAAATAACAGCAGTACAAGCAATCTGGGGGAAAAGGAGGCTGATTTTGTCCTCTGTGCTTGCAGGCAGAATAAGGGTCCACGCTACTCCTGCAAGCACACGACAGCTTGGGAACAGCGGGGTTAAGTTACAAACCTGCACTGCCACTTCTGCCCCATCCCCGGCCCCAGAGACACGCACCCGGCTCTGGGTCTGCCACATTTCCCCAGGGCGAGCAGGAGAGATGCCCAGCGCTGGGGCCAAGCAGCGCACGGGCACTGCCTCGGGACCCCCCGTGCCTGTCCCCCAGTGATCGGGGTGGGGATCCGGGCACACCTCGCTCACATCCAGCCCAGCCCGGCCCGTGGCAGCGCCCTCCTCCACGCACCCACACTGACATCTAGAGGCACTCGCGATGGCCTCGGGGACAGAGCTCGGGCCACACCGCCACCGTCACCGGAGCCACGCTGGCCCCGCACACCCGGGAAAGCCCCCCATGCCCCCCGTGCCCCTTCTCACCGAACTCGCTGGCACACAGGTGCTCCACGATGGCCTCGGACTTCATCTCGTTGTCACAGGGAGGACACACAGTCGTTCCTGGCAAGAGAAGAGAAGCGAGGAGAGAGGTAGTGAAAAGCCAGGCTGCCCACGCTGCCAGACCGCTGCCCTCGAGGGGGACACGTGCCCAGGCACCCTGCCCAGGTTCCCAGCTCTGTGGGACAGCACCCTGCCTGGGGCCAGGAGACATCCACCAGATCACAGGGCAGTGCTGGCCACGGGCAGCCTCCTGCCAGCCCCACTCCAACGCTGCCAGCGGCCCCAGGGCCAGGCACAGGCAGGGGCAGGCAGCTGCCAAGAGCAAGAGGACAGCCCTGGCAGGGAGAACAGTTTTCAGGCCAAGGCACTCAGCTGAGGGGAGCCAATGGCTGCAGGGCATGGCCCACAGCCTGCTGACATTCACTCCCCATGGCATGCCAAGGTGAGCACACGGTGCCCCAACCCCAGCACAGCAGGAGGAAGGTGCCCAGGGATGGCTCACGCACCAAGGGGCCACCCCAGTGCCAGGCAGGAGGGTTCAGGACTGGGACAGCCCAGTTCAGCGCAGTGCTGCCCTGGCTGCTGGAGACCACCCTGCAGGCTGCCTGGGTAGGGTAGCACTCAGCAAGCCCTTCACTGCCCTCCCTCCCACCGTGTCCCAGGGCAGGGTCATCTTCGCTCTCGTTTGGAGCCCAGTGCAGCCTCCTGGCTGCAGAGCAGCAGAGCTGGCTCTGCTCACCACCACCCGCCTCTTGGGAAACGCCAGCCAGGAGGTTCCACTGGGATCTGTCCTGGCAGGAAAGCTCACTGCACCCAGAGAATAAGGATCTGTTCCCAGGTTCCCGTCTGCAGCCAGAGCAGAGACCACCCAGCAGCACAGACGCAGATTTGCGCTACTGGCAGATGAATTTATGGAGCCGGGAGATGCTGCTTGTTCCCGGTCCAGCAGGATGGAGGGCTCTTCCCACACAAGGGAGTTACTCTCGGGGACAACGCTGCAGCAAAACATCTGCCGGTCCCTGCGTGCAGACAGAGCACTCCCAGGCTCCCAGCCCTCAGCCAGGCCAGCAAACCCCCAGCACTGCTGGACCAAGGGAGCAGAGAGGAGTCCCAGAAAAGGGAGCAGAGCCTGGCGAGGGGGGCACGGCCACGACCACAGAGCCGTGTCTCCTCAGCCACAGGAGCCCCACAGGGGTTCAGGCGAGACATTTGTTCTCTGTGGCTTGTTCTTCCCCTCTCGCCACCGCTAAATCTGTTCTGTGCCAAATGCTAATTCCTGGGGACGTGCACCACAGCTTTATTAATCACACATGCAGAGCAACTGGCCTTCCGCTCGCCCCTCTGTGCAAGGCACAAGTCAGCCTTCACAGCAGAAACAGTCAACTCCACAGTCCCATTCTAGGGACTCTGTACCTGTGGGATCTGCCCATCACCTGGGTCACCTCCTCTTCCAAAACTGGAACGTGCAATTGCCGCTATTGCCATCTTCACTCAGAGTGACACAGGCAGAGGCCAACCTTCGGGGTCATGACAACAACCCCAACACTTTGTTTTTAAAATCAGCAGTCAGAATGTTTTCTTCCAGGCTGCACATTTAATGAGCTCATGACAAGGAAGAGAGGGTGCTCACAGGAGGGTGACAGCCCCAGCACTCCTTCTGTTCATCACTGTGCTGGGGACCACCCTCAGGAGCAAGGGGGGATCACCTGCCGTGCAAAGCACTTCAACCTGCCTCAGCAGCCCATGAGGAGGCTGGCCAAGCCTACACCAGCCAAACACCCATGGAAGCCACTGCTGCGTTTACCCCATGAGCTTTCCAGGCACCCAATTATAAAAAAACCCAACAACACAAAATAAGATTCGTTGTTCCCTGGTGCAAACACGGGCTTTGTTCTCCAACCTGACTTTGAATGTTTCCATGGACAAGGCATCCACCACATATCTGTGCCAGCATTCTACTACCCTCACTGCAAAAAAACTTCTTCCTTATGCCCACCCTCCATCAACCCATCCTGCAGCCCTGTGTCCTGCAGCCCTGTCACAGCACAGACGTGCCAGCAGGACGGCAGGGGACACTGTCCATGCCGACAGGGAGGGTAACTGTCCTCTGCTCTGGGACACCACATCACGCCACGATCAGGACCACAAATGTCAGCTCTGTACCCCAGGAGAACTGCCCCTCTGTGGAGCCACAGCTCCACAACCACCTGCCCTCCCACTCCCCCCGAGGCACCGTGGCTGAGGTGACCAGCCCACCCTCCTGGCCCGCTGCAGGTCAGCTGGGGCCTGTCTGCTGCAGGGACGGCTCCACTCCAAGAGCAACCTCAGCCTGCTTCCAGCTCGCTTGTTCCCTGCTGACCATTTTCCAATGCCTGGCTGTAGAGCCAGCTTACTCCAGGGGCAGGAGAAGGAATGTGTAATGCTGTATTAATCTGCAACTCCCCTGATGCATCCCGTGGGCCTGCAGGCTTTACCGCCTGTGCTTAAGGAGAAAGGAATTCAACAGGTCAGCTCTTTGAGAGGCAGAAACAAATTCCAATTTCAAGGTGTTAATGGGGAAAAATACTGAAAGGGCTCGTTCTTATTAGTGCCGAGAGAAAAGGGGGGACACTGCTGGGTTCTGACCCTCTTTGAATCAAGAGGAAACACCCCAGTGCCCAAAAGCAAAGGGGCTCCAGGAGCTGGCACTGGCAGAGAACGCAAACAGGGAGCCCACAGCAGAGCCCAGACAGAGGAAAGGACCCAACCAGCACAGGGACAAGGGCTGAGCTGCAGCTCACCCAGGAGGACTCTGCATCTGCAGGAGGTGGCAGTGCCAGAGCCAAGGGGACGGATCTGGCCCTTGCTGTCACCGAGCCGCTGGTGGATCCTCTGCGGCACACGGGAGAGCCGGCGGTGCTGGTTCACAACGCACCAGTGGCTGCAATCAACCTGGAGTTTGCTCTGCTCACTCTAAGCTGTTTGGGGCACCAAAAGAAAGCAGTAGTGTCCCACCCCAGTGCTGCTGTCAAGGCAGGTCTGAAAGGTGATCAGAAAGTTGTTAAAACTACACATGGGAAAAGTTGGCAGACGCTGCTCATCTAGAAGACTGTTCTCAGGACTTGGCTCATTGTCTGTAAAATGAATGACCTGCAAACAGCTCAGACTCTATTTCGGACCTTGGAAGGGGCAGCTCAGACCCAGCTGCCCCAGAAGTATGCTTGGCTGCAAGTCCCTGGGGAATAAAAGCAACCTTTGTACCTGCAACACAAGACACTGCTGCGGTCTTGACCAAGGGTCCAGGTTCACACAGGACACATTATTTTAGAGCCTTCCTGGAAAACAAAGAACTTCCTCCAGCAATCACATCAGCAAGGGCAAGCCAGTGTGGCTGTACTGCCATCAGTGCTGGGAGAGGCTGGAGTGCCCATCACTGTCCCCTGTGGAACAAGGAGTACCCAAAAAGCACTGCACTCCCTCAGAGCCCTCTGCCATCTCCCTCTGCAAACATCCCTCCTTCCAGCCTTCCCCGGTTTCCGAGAGCGAATGCCAAAGTGACACCAGGATATTTATTTATTGTGAAGTTTCCAGCAACAAGCCAGACTCACTGCAACTCAAACAAACAAGCCAGTCTGGCCCCACAGAAACGTGCTGCATGCAATGGAAACAAACACAAACCACGGCCTTGCCCTCGTCATTCCTTGGCGGGTCTCTTGCCCCGCTCCAGCCCACAGCCCACCCGAGGGCAGGGCTGGATCTCCACTGCCACCGGCTGCCAGTCTCTTGCCCCAGGACTGAGGGGGATCCCACCAGAACTGCAGTCACTGTTGACTGCAGTGAGCCAGCACTTCATGCCGTGGGGGCCACACACCCTCCTGCTGCCCAGAGCAGCCTGCAGGAGTTGGGCTGGGGAGCAGAACTGCAGCACCTGAGGACAGGGGGTCGGATCATGGTCCACCAGGGCTGGAGCCCAGCCCCGATGCCTGTGCAGGGATCAGAACAGGCACACCCCCAGCGTGCCCCAGAGAAGCCTGTCCTGAGGCTTGGCTAGGGATGAGCAGCTGGCAGGGCATCCTGCCTTCCCTGGGACAGGAGTGTGCCACGAGTGCCCGGAGCCTGGAGGAGGGGGTTGCTGCCAAGAAGCAGAGTTCAGGTGAGCCTCCTCTTGCCGCAAGACCCCCTTCAGTCCCACGCAGCCCCTCCTGGGCTTACACCTGCTCTGTCAGCTCAGACAGGAGTGCCAGGAGCAAGGCTGCAGCACCAGCCATGCCTTACCTTTGGGCCTGGAGACCTCGGTGGCATTGGGAGTTGTCATGGCAATGCAGACATCATCCTGGGGAAACTGGTCACACTTGAGCATCTCTGGCCAGAAGAAGCCAAAGAACTGCATGACGGGCTCACAGGAGTCACGGACAGCCTCACAGAGCCAGCGGCAGGGGTACACCGGCCGGTCCAGGCAGACGGGGGCAAAGAGGGAGCAGAGGAAGACCTGGGTACCCATATGGCAGTTCTTGTTGAGCAGTGGCACCCAGCTGCTCGCCTGGTGCTTCACCTCGGCCATGGTCTCGTGGTCCAGCAGGTTGGGCAGCACCATCTTGTCGTAGCCCACGCTGTGGCAGAGCCGCAGGTCGGCGGGGATGGCCACGCACTGGTGGGGCTTGGCGTAGAAGCGCCCGCCGGGGTAGGGGCCCAGGTCGGACTGGTAGCTGACATAGTCGTACTCGCTGGCCCCGCCACAGGCCAACAGCCCGGCGGCCACCGACACCAGCGCCCGCAGGGCGGCCCCGCCGGGCCCCCTCGCGCTGCCCATCGCCGCGACCGCCGACGCTGGCCCCGACGGCGCCGCTCGCTGCCGGCGGCCGCCCCGGCGGCCCCTCTGCCGCGCCCTACCCGGGGCCCCGACCCGCCGCCCCCCGCCCGCCGAGCCCCTCCGCTCCCGCCGCCGCCGCCGCCGCCGCCCCGGCCCCGCTCTGGCCTCGCCCGGGCCGCGCCGCGGGTTTGTGAGCCCGCGGCAGCCAATCAGCGCCGCGCCGCCCGCCGCGCGCCCGCCCGCCCGGCCAATCACGGCCGAGGGAGCCAAGCCCGCCCCGCCCCTCCCCGCCCGGCCCCGCCCCCGCGGCCGGGGGAGCCCCGCGCGCGGCGCGGCCCCGACGGGAACCGGGAACGGGCACCGGGAATGGGGAACCGGGAACGGGAATGGGGAACCGGGAACGGGGAACGGGAACTGGGAATGGGGACCGGGAATGGGGAACCGGGAACGGGCACCGGGAATGGGGAACCGGGAACGGGGAACGGGAACCGGGAATGGGGACCGGGAATGGGGAACCGGGAACGGGGAACGGGAACCGGGAAGGGGGAACCGGGAACGGGAATGGGGAACCGGGAACGGGGACCAGGAACCGGGAACGGGCACCGGGAATGGAGGGCTCGGGGGTACCGGGAGCCCCCAGGCTCACCCCGCAGCACCGCTCGGGCGCTTCTCCGGTGGGCGGCCCGAGCCCCACCGGGGCCGTGCCCGGGCAGCTCTGGGAGGTCCCGGCGCTCCCGAGCGGCTGTTCCAAAGTTGCAGATGTTTCTGTGAACCCGCACTGGGCCGCGCAAACCTCATTTCCCCGTGGACAAATTCCAACAGAAAGTATGGTATTTTGAAAGAAGGAAAAAAAAAAAAAAAAACAACCACCACACAAACCAGAAGAGAGAAAGAGGGTCTGTTCCTTACAGCGGTATCGCACCTGAGAACCCGGCTCCAGGGAGCAGAACTGCACACGTCCCTGTCCCAAGGAGCTCTCCCGAGCTCTCCAGTGGCTCTCCCGAGCTCTCCAGTGGCTCTCCTGAGCTCCCTCCTCCGGGCTCCTCCAAAGCTCCCGTTCCTGCTGCTGCCTTTGGCTCAAACAGCTTGTGCCATTTAATACAGGAACTACACCTCATTGAGAGGTAAATGGAAGAGGCTCTGAAGCCTGGAAGACTGAAAGAGCCACTTTCACCTGAGGGCCAGCAGAAGAGAGCAGCCAGTTTGCACGACTAATGAAGTGAAGAATTCAGCATTAACAAGAGATGTCCGTGCCGTAAGGAGGCTGTAGCAGAGTGAAATAAGCAGTTGGATGGAGCACTCCTGCTGCTTGGGCTCAGGAAATGTTGGCAGCAACTCTGCACTGCTACAATCCTGTTCCAGGCTGAGGAGTGGGACAGGGACATCATGGGTAGGAAGGCAAGGTGGGGACTTGGGAAACTCTTGTTTGAAAGTTGGGGAGCTCTCCAAAGGCAACAGCAGGAACACTGCCCTAAAACTGTGGTCAGGGTCCCCGTTATCTGCAGGGCAGCAAATGCCACATGGCAGCAGGTAAATGTCCTGTCACAGTCACTCCAGGGACATGTGCCCTGGAGCATCCCACGCTGATTAGTGGGCTTGGCTGCAGCCCTGACACGCTGGACAGTGGCTGCTGAGCCCGCCACAGTTCACTGCTCTCCATCCAAGCGGGAAAGCTGCAGTTCAGAATGCCTTGGCTGCTGAATCCGACCACACTCACGGCCTGCACGGTTCTTGAACTCGGCCCAGGGAAGGTCTTTGCTGGCTCCCTGCTCTCCTCTGTGGCTGATACCCACATTCATGGCAGCAGCACCTGAATGGGAATCCAAGAGTGAATTTTGAATTGAAATACAATTGACCAGCAAATACAGTTGCCAGAAAAACACTTTTTCTTTTTTTTTTTTTTTTTTTAAAAAAAAAGGGAGAAGGGGAAAAAGCCAAACAAAATTAAAAAGTCAACAGCTCTGGTCTAGGCCACTTAATTGTTTAAAACACAGTATAAGACCTCTTAGAGAGCAGCTGCCCAGGAAGGGCTGCTCTTTCAAAAGACCCCTTCCGAACTGGGTATGAACATTTTTGAATGAAGCCTGCACAGCCATTTCCCTTCATAATTATGTAGGCCTTTACTGCTTCTTAAATCTCAATCTCTTTAATCTTAATTACTGCTTCTTAAATCTCTGCCTAGTCTCTAATGTCATCATTTAACCTTACTTTATAGCCCTTTATTGCTGCCTCTCCCACAGGGGCTAACATTTTCTTGCTGAATAACGAGAGGCTTTGCACCACGCACCATTCTGGCTGTCCCCAGCCCTCTCCTGCCCTGTGAAAAGCCCAGCCCAATTAACCGTGCCTGTTCCCGGCCCCATTGTTTGTCCTGGCAGCCGCAGGACCAGGCGCTCTGCCCGCCCCCCTCCCTCTCAGCTCAGCATCCCGCTCTGCTCCACATCCACCTGCGGCAGGTGCTCAGCGGTGCCAGGGCAGTGGTGGCCCAGGTGGCCCCATGCCGCT